ATGTAGAGTAAAGAGTAACAAAAAAAATAAGAAGTGCGAGGTTGTATATTTGAGAGTAACGGTATTGGTAAAGAAAAAAGAAAAGTTTTTTTTTGCGTATTTTTAAAATTCATGTATGTATGTATGGGTATATATATATAATTTTTTTTATACATGTATAGGATGACTCAAAGGATGACTCATGGCTCAAATGAATTCACATTATTAAACTCGTGAGAAAAATATTACATTTTGATAAGATGGATACAATTATCACACACAAAAATTTGCACCCGATGAAAAAAAAGATCGGAACTATGTAATATGAGTAATAATAACTTTTATATCACATATTACGATTAAATATTATTTGATTATTTAATTAAAGAAACAGTATATGATATAATGTACACATAAGTAATATATGTAATAGTTATTTCAGCGCAGCCGTGAAAATCATGTGACTCCGTGAAATAACTGTTTTATCTCACGGTATCCGTACCATGAAGCCCTTTAATATATTTATTTTAACTAATAATGATTGATTTTTTATTCCAATATTGATGGACTTTTTACCCAAATTTTTAACTAAGAACCGTGGGATAAAATATAATATATAACAATGTAACATGTATTAACTGATGGTACGATAATCAATTGGTAAAACAATTGTCACATAGAAACACATCGTTTCAATTACTCTAGTTAATAAACAATATTTATATTCCTTTTGATTTAATTTGGCACAAAAATAGTAGCTGATGAAGGCATTTTTGATTTTTTTTTTTTAAAAAAAAAAAGTTTTTTATTTAATTTATAAGAGATTATACGATGGTGGCTTACAATAAAAAAATTTATATTAATCACTGATTTATTTTATTTATAAATAAAAAAAAAGAGTTTAATATTTATTATATAATTAAAAAGAATTTATTGTTTAAATAATTAATAAAGTTTGGCCATTTGGACACGGAATACTACTGGAGTAACCTAGATTAATTATACTGTATACAGTATATGAGTGTATTAAATTAATATATATATATTTTTTTTTAAGTTTGAAAATTATATTAGATGATGTAGTGTTATAAAGCTTAAGAACATTCGTCTGTTATTTTGATTAGGCTAATTGACCTAATCCGATCTGTATTCCACCTAGATCAAAAACACTGTATACATTCTTCAAAAAGGCGGCACCAAGAATCCATTCGTTGGCCGGCCCTAAAAGAGAGTGAAAAAAAGTATATTTTAAAAATCAATTTTCATTAAAAATTTAGACTATAAGTACGTCAATCAAATAACAATACCATCATCGGTTCCGTCTATCGCCCCATAACATTCATCACCGTCTTCAATTATAAAATCTCTTTGATCAATATTCCAAGTTGCACCATTGATTCTCATACTAATTGTGACTTGGACATCGCAAGATATGTAAAAATGTCCATTTTTCTCTTCATGTTGAATGTTTGCGTAAACTTGCTGAGCATCAGCATGTGGTACAACTATTAATGTGGTTCCGGTATCAAGGTTTGCAATACGACCTGCTAAATTTAATGCTGCGCCATTGACAAGGCAGTCGTCGAGAGGGATAATCCACAGACCACCATTATTTTCCGATAGACCTGTCCAGGTAAGCTCACCAGTAAAACTTTCTGAATTAATTCCACCAATTGTTAATTCGCCTTCCGTACCATCTGCATCTCTCCCAAGTTTAAAAGAGAACTGTTGTGCATCGAAATGATTGTTATTATCATTAAAAAGGTTGGAGATTAGTGTGATTTGGTCATTTTGACTTGCTACGTTAAATGCCATCCCCATCATTCCGTCAAATTCATCACGTTGAAAATCATTGGTAAGCGTGACGGCCAATCCGAACTTTTGCCTTATTGAAAGATCCCCAATTTGAACAATGGTCGTTCCTTGCGTCCCAGTTACCGTTCCTTTATCATATTCGGCATTAAAATTTTCATGGAGATCTTGGAAGTCTTCATCCGTTTCAGGATCATATCGATTTTTATCGTCACATGCAGGTGAAAGACAGGCATCATCTATAACCCATAAATCGGCTGAACCTGTATCAAATTGTATATCAAATTTCGAATCACCGAAAAATAGTTCTCCAAAATATGCTATGTCTGGATGTTGTTGATCAACTTCCACATTTGTGGTGTCTCGTCGATCAAATTTACGTGGCTTGCGACGAGTGATTCGTTTCTCCTTTAGCGGAATTGTTACTACTTTAGATGGTATGTAAGGTAACGCATCAACATATAGTAAAACTGCTATTGCAAGAATAAATACGTATAAAGTTTTCATGATAAATTAAGGTTAGTATTGAGAACAGAAGTTAAGATATTTTAGACGAGTGACTATATCAAAAAAAAAAGGTCTCTAGCTTACTCAGTCACACATTTATATATATTGTATTCCAAGACATTCTAAACCACTGATTTCTAAGGACTTTTTTTCTTTTAAAATTTAAATGATCATCAAATACCGAAATTAAAGTTGATCATTTTTTACTGCCTTTTTTAATACTCTCATACAATGCAGAAAGATCATTGTGTTACTGTGACGCAGTTCATTTGAATTGTTGTTGATTATAAATGAAACTCAGAAAGAAAATTATGGGTTTAGCCAAAAATAAGTTTTAATCGGGACCTTTATATTACATTGTAACAAATCTCCTCCGTGCCGTGTCCGATGTGCAACAGCATTATCCCTCGTGTAAATTATTGAAATTTATTTTTTTGTGTCCATCTATTCGCGTAATATGCAGGTAATATGTTAACTTATAATTGGTGTTTAGTAGCTTCGCTTTCAACGTAATACTAATTATTCATGAGTATATAAATTAGATATGCAGTATCTCCGTAAAATTTAAAGCAATACATTACACATCTCATATTATACGATAACCATGCTAGAAAATCCATAAATTTAAAATGAAATAGCTAATTAAAAAAAATTTACACTAGCTTTTTTTATTAATATAACGAACGATGATGGTGCAAATGGTAATAATGTAGAAATACTGTAGAACACTGTCTAAAATACCCCGGATATAAATCAAGTGATGACATATGAGCAAATGTTGATAACGGAGCAAGGAAATGTTGAAGGAAACGTTGACGACAGAGCAAGGAAACGTTGATGACGGAGCAATAAATGTTGATGACGGAGCAATAAATGTTGATGACGGAGCAAATGTTGATGAAAGAAGAAATGGTAGATGATCATGTTGATCAAACTCGCATTTCATTTTATCTTCGTACAACAAAAAAAAAGATTTTTTTTTCCCTTTATTCAGAAATAATTTTTCTTTTTTGTTCTAAACTTTATCTGAATTGCACCATTTTACCAATTGAAAAAAAATTTTTTTACAAAAATAAAGAAAAAATTTATATATCCAGCAATAGGAGCATTATTTAAACGACGAAAAATAAAATGTTTTGTATTTACCACGTAACATTAATTTAATAACTGATCATTATGATTAAGATGATCGAAGATCAACATCCTGCTTTTGGTTATAACAAACCGGGGTTGCTTAAAATAGATTCGTATCTCATTGATAATATGAAACAAAAAAATGTTAAGACATCTTTCAATAATAATTCACGTGAGGTAACTACACCGTGAAATAATGAGTATACCACCTATAAAAACGAAATGCGAAACTGTTTTATATTTGTGCTCATGTGTATGATAATAAATATCTACAAAATGATGCTTTTTTATTCATGAACACAAATATAAAACGAATTTAATATTTCATTTTTATAGGGTACCCATGAGTACCCTTCACTTCCTTCAGGTATGTAATCTCACTCCTTTAATGAGACATGATTTAACGATCTTAGTAAATTTGTTATTAAAGCTTATTTAAAATAATTGTGTGCTATTAATTAAATGTCTGTTTAATAAATGAATCAAATAAATAAATTAAAATAGTAAATTAGAGTGCTTCCATTCTAGTACATAATTATTTTACTTTCTTTAATATAAAACTCTCTTACAGTATCCAAAGGTACACAAGTAACAATATATTGTATATATATATATATTTTTTGCTATACTGACGATTATTTGTGGGAATACTCATTATTTTTCAAATTATTTAATTTGTGTTTCATTCATTATCTTCTATGATGAAATAATAATTATGCCCAATACTTAAAAAACACTTCTACTAGTTGAACTTGTGCATCTTTAGCATTTGTTCTTCGAGAAAGTATTTTTAATTTTTTTTAAAAGAAATAATAATAATAAAATTATAATTTTATAAAACGAACTTTTCCGTATCATCAACGAAAACTATCATTCAGATATAAATTACAAAAAAGCACGTTCAAATTTTCAATTTTATTATCATTATCTATAACACAAAATTAAAATAGTATAATGAAACTTGTAAATATAATTATGGAATTACCCAAAATCCTATTGCCAAAAATTACATAATTTAACTACGATAACAGGTGATTTAAGATTAAGTAGTAAATCTGAAATTGAATCATTTGATGATGAAAATGAGATATATGGAATTATCCCTTATGTTGCGCCAGAGGTTCTTCAAGGTCAAAATATACTAAAACATCAGATATATATAGTTTGGTATGATTATATGAGAATTAATGACAGGTAGAAGACCTTTTTAGGATAAAAATCATGATGAAGAACTTATTATTGATATATGTCCCCCAATTGTTACAAATGAATGTTGGCACTCTGATCCAAACAAGAGACCAACAACTACTGATTAAAAGAGAAAATCAAGGTTATCTACAAAAAAGAAGTATGTGCTGATGCAGCTAAAATTATAGCGTCATCAGATATTGGACATATAAAAAATGTCATCATATGGGCCGATCTACAGAATCGGCTGAAATTAAGGATTTATAAAATTTATTAAAAAAACGTGACATTTATTCCACAACCCCCTATTTCAATTGTGTTACATGATCATCTATATGCCGACCGGTTAAAAAAAAAATTTTTTTTGTTACTTTGAAATAAAAATATTTTCCATAGATACAAATAAACAGCGCGAAATCTAATGGGTTTTTAAGTTTCCAATGGGTTTTTGGTATAGGTGATAATTTCACGTTATTTGCATATTAAATATAGTTGGTAACTATTTTTTTTTTGTTTTCTAAAAGTTCTCGGCATTCAGTAGAGTTGTAAGAAGTTGTAAAAGTTTGGGACTTTAGACAAAACTTGTTGTGATTTTATTTCTTGTTTGTTTATATCATATTTTATTAAAGAATCTAAGTAATAACAAAAAATTTTTATTTATTTCAAAATTAGGCAAATTTTATTATTCAAAAATCAGAGAGAGAGTGGGGGAACTTTTTGTGACTTTCCTAACCCCTTGTTAATAAATATTTCTATTTTAGTATTGTTAGAATCACCTTAGTTAAACCCTTATTTTGTTATAATTTCACCTAATTTTAAACATAAGTTACAAAGATATAATTTTTTTGGGAAAAATAAATATTATACTACAAAAATAAATAATTTAGCTAATTTAAATCCGTTTTTTGTAAAAATATTATCATTAAATTACACTCAAAATAGAGCTTTTAGTTGAGCATAATTTTGCATGATTTAATAATAGAATGGTAAAATACATAAATTTTTTGAAATTTCACATACGTTTATAATATCTTTATGCACGTGATAGTATCGCCCATCCAATCATTTTGATAGTTTTTAAATTATAAATTATTAATTAATGGATGATTATTAAATACTAATAGTCTTGTATAATATAAAGGAAAGTATGATGGTAATTTTATTGAAGATACTGAAAATAATAATGATAATGGTAAAAAAAATTTAATAAGATATTGTAAATAAATTGGTTAATATCTTTTATAATAATTTTTTTTTATAATAAAAATTATTTTAGATAAAATTATTAAAAAAAAATCAAAATAAACAAAAATAATTTTATATCATAATTTAATAATTTAACTAAATTTTACCTGATTTGACAAGAAAATTTGAATTTGATATTGATACTTTTACATTTACTGTAATAACGTTTGCTAATAAACTAATAAATTTTATTTATATAAATATACTACCAAAGAAATAGTTTTTGATAAATCACTTTCATATTTAATATTATCAATTATATATTTTCTTTTACTTTAAAACAGAATATTATAAAATAAATAAAGACCAATGGTTTATTTATTACGCATATACTGTACATGTTATCTATCAAATGTTATATTTTTCCATGTAGATTTTATGTAGCAATATTACGATATCAGATATTAAATATGAAACTAATATTTACTTTTGACCAATAAAATGTGTGCGTCATCTTTAGGCAAAAGAGGTTTTTCAAAACCAAAATAGAATATCTGATTTCCATTATAATAGGTATAACTTTTAACAATAACAACTTTAACCCCTGCATTTTTTAAAGCTCTTCTCTACTACTGCTATTACCAAATTCTTTATTCAATAAATTCAATGTTGTACAACTATATTTAAATATCTGATAAGATAATGTCATTAGAGCTTAAACACTCCCAATTTCTGCAAAAAAATCTAAAGTTATTGCAGAAATATAGAGAAATACCGGTGAGAAATCGCTCTACACTTTCGTCTAGCATCAGTGGCCTAATCTCGATGACAAATGTAATTATTTTTAACGGAAAAGTACTATACAATGAAAAAAAATGATTTTAATGTACACCCTTGTTGGAGGCATGCAAACGGGACCGGAACCCGGCCCGGGTCCGAGCCGGCACATGACTTTTCGTTAAACCCGGATTTTTGTAATTCTGGCCAAAATCGTCTTAATTCTGGCCGAAATTATACTAGCCAAAATTAAGTTGGCCAATTTTTTTTGTTTTTGAGAATATACAATAATAGAGTCCGGTCCGGTCTGGGTTGTCAATACAGACCTCTAACCCTCGCTTTTTCTCTCTATTTTCTCCCTCTCTCATCCTTTTTACTTCCTTTTCCCTTCTCTGAAGGTCATTAAGACACTAGACTGTGCTAAATTTCTAATTTTTTTTTTTTATAAGATAAATATAATTTTATTTTTAATAAATATAGAAAAAACAAATTAATAATTAGTTATATAAATTAATTGATAACAATTGTAAATAATAAAAAACAGAATTTTAATATTTTATACACGAGAATTTTTAATTATACCGACTAGGAAATTTGCTTTGATATTTAAAAATAAGTAAGTTTAAAATTATTTTTATTTTTACAATTTAAAATAATAATTATGAATCTTAGAATTTGATTTCTACAAATTCTAAATTTGCAATTTGCAATATTTTAACGAATTTTTTGACCTTCTAATTTTTTTTCTTCTAATTGCCTTATTTCTGTTGTGCCCCAAGTTGACGATTGCCCCAAATCAACGATCGGCCTAAATTATCGGCCCATCTTTATAATGCCTTAAGAATTTTCAAAGCATTACCTTTCACATATAGTAATCATCGATGATTATCGTCAATTTGGGGCATATTGCTGTCTCTTATACACATCTAGATGTGTATAAGAGACAGTTCACATATAGTAATCATCGATGATTATCGTCAATTTGGGGCATATTGAGATTTGGGGCACAACATTTCCACTTCGTCATAACAATAAAAAATGTCATTGATTTAACGCTGTTTCGTAATTGTGCTACCCATGCAAATTAATAAATAAAATTACCAAATTACAAGACGATTACCGGGCCTGTAATCTTCCTGTAATTATAATCACCAGTAATCACAATGTACACAAAATTTTGAAAACTGCAATAATTATTATTCCGATTATAAATATTTATTCCGATTATAAATAACGTTATAATTAAAAATTACTGGTTATCTGGTACACTCATCAGTACTATTAGAATAGATATACTGTACTACTTTTCATTTTTCATATGCATTTTTAACAATTGGAGGTAAAAAATATTTCTACTCTCAAAACTCAATATATCTGAATTTTTTTTATTAAATATTTGGAAAATATGTGTGATAATTATTTCACGGAGAATTTGGTTTTCACGGCTGCTCCGTGAAAAATTGTGATATTCATTCTCACGATGACTATTTATATCACAGTTTCGGCCATAAAACTTTTAGTATACCATCCGTAAGAATATCAGAAAATAATCATAAATTATTGCGAGATAATTAAATAATTCATCACAGTACTTTTAGTACATTTGTTAAATACTGACATAATTTTTTGACATATTGAATCAATCCGAGATTTTTTTCTCGGAGATCGTTTGAGCCTATCATAAAAACAAATCCCGTTCTCCATCTATTTTGGAGCAACTTTTTTTTTTTTACTTTTTAACATATAAAGAATATTAATCAATTTTTATTAAAGATTATTCTTTCCCGGTTGTATATATTATTTACTTATAGTTTTTCGTTTTAAACGACAAAGAAATTAATTAGGTACACTGTACATTACGGTACAAACTATATACTTGATACACGTACAAAATTAAAAACAAAGGTTTTTATTTGGAAAAAAAGAAATTTCCGTCCTTTTAAAGAAACAAATTATCCGAAGCAGTAAAAAAAAAAAATAATAATCCGAAGATATTTTAGCCGGAATATATTTTAACCATTAATAACATCATTAATTTTTACATTTGTAATTTTTACGCCAAATTCGATACAACATATGGGCCGATTTGGCTCACATCACTAATAAATAAAAGTGATAAATGTGAATTTGATCGACATGTCAATATACAAAAATAGTGAAAATAGTGATAATATCAAATAATGCATGATGACGTATATTTTGATTTTGCTTTTAAGCCAATTGTCAAAGACTTCGCACGCTTGCAAAACTTGATTTCTCAATGTCAAAACCTGTCGGGAATTGGTTTGGAATTGGTTTTTTTTGGAAGGAATTTATTTTTTTTGGAAATGGTAAGTGGTATTGTAAAATTATTTAATAGAAAGGTTATTTGGTAAAATGGCAAAAATAACTCTTATTTCGTTAGAAAAAAACAAAAATAATACGTTCCCATATATTTATTAGAAACATTAAAGCTTTTAAAAAAAATCTTTTTATTATTGTAATTTTAATTCTTATTTATTTTATTACAGGTTTTTTTTGGACGTTCTGTGTTATTTTATTTACTACCTTGATGAGATTATGTACCATATCTTTAAAGAGTTATAGCTATAGATAAACATGCTGAGTTTAGATAATTTTTGTATTATAAGAAAGAGTCTTGTTTGTCCTCTTAGAATATTAAAAATTATTTAAATTGGATTATAGGAAGCTTGGATAATAATTTTTGAGCATATTATAACATTTATTTATAGTTTTCGTGATTTCTTGGTCTCCTGTTATTCATTTTGAACAATTTTACTTTATAAAAATAGATATAATTTTTGTTTTCAAGTGGTTTATAAAATAATTCTATTTATTATGAAATTTGTGTGATTAAAATTATAAAATTTTTTTTCTTTGAATTCTTTTAACGAAATTTTTTTAAAGTTCGTATTTATTGATCACTACGCACGTGAAATTTGACCAATAAACGGACTTTAGCTATGGTGATAAATGTGACAATGATCGACAACCCACAGGTGACATAATTGAAGTGAGACAAATCGGCCCATATGAAATTTCAATGCTTAATGGCTATATGTACGGATATGCGCGGTCATCACAATCAAAAGTAAAAAGTCCATTCTACAATATGTCTTTTTTTCCGGTAATGGAGACAATTTACCCGATAAAGAAACTTAACGCATGATCATTGATGACATAAATACATGGAAAGCACAGTGGCTAAAAAAGTTTATGTAAAAATGGCGAACATGCATGATATTGAGCCGATCCTGGGAAAAAACAAAAACATGACAATTGCGTAAGTCAAACAAAATTATCTTACGTAATCATTACCGATTTTAGTGTCGATCAAATCATATGACAAGAATTCGAACCTAAACGATAATGGTAAGTGATAATTAATAATTTAAATTTATATTTAAATAGATAATACTTTTACCTAATTTTCTTTGATTATACCTAATTATATATATCTCTGATTTTCTCAAATTTTTCATAAAACAGCCGCCTTCATATTCATTATATACAGTACTTTATTTCAATTGAATATGGTCAAGATTTTACAAGAAATTTAATGACCAATATTTTTCGAAAATTGAGTTATATGATAGTATTTAATTATAATTTTTGTAATAAGTCTTATTTCTTTTAATAATGTTCTCAAATACGACTAATATAATAATATAACAATTTAAAATAACTTTATTTTATTTATATTTAAAAACAACAATATATTTTATTTTGAATACAACAACAAAAAAAAAATGAATATAAAATATTTTATATAATATATAATCTAACTAAAAAGAGTGATAGAGAGAGAAATGGATAAAAAAAAAATAAAATCTATCACAGTAAATTATTTATATAATTCCACTTTATTATTATTCACAGAATTTTTATAGTTGGGTAAAATCAATTTTACAACTCTCGCTATCTGATCCATAGTCAATTTCTTCACTATCTTCTTCTTGAATTGCATCATCTATATCTTTTGAAATTAAATTATTATCTTCATATATTCCTTTCCAATTTTTAATATCTCTAAACCATTCTGCTTTACTTTTTCCATTAAGTATTCCAATAGCAATTAAAGCAATGTTATCTCCATAATTTCTATATTCAAATTTTAATTGAGCAATCATACACCATCTAACAAATTCTTTGCAAGTTTCTTTTAAACATTCATCTGCATTTGGTGAATCTTGTTTTTTGGCAATTTGTATAAATTTTGAAACATAATGCTCAGATTTCAATCCTTTCTCATTTTCCCAAATTCCTAATAATTAAAGAATAATTTTTTTTAGTTCATTGCTTAATTATTATTTTTCATAATGATAAATTCTAAATTATTTTACTAACCATCTGAAGCAATAAGAATCAATTTCATATCCTCATCAATTACGAGACTACTCACTTCGGGCTTGGCTAAATTATTAAAAATTTAATTACACACACATATTTTTAATGCAATTAATAGTTTAATTAATAAATTAATAAATTTTACCTGTAACAGGAGGTTTATTTGAACCTAATTTAAAATGATAATCCCCAAAACTACGTGAAGCTGCTATATTCCACTTTTCACCTAAAATAATTATAACATTAATATATTAATAAAGTTAAAAAATAAAAATTAAGATTTTAATTTTACCATTTAAAAATCTTCCATTCAATATAAATTTCTTAATTCCAAAATTAGTTTTTATAGCATAAGTTTTATTATTTTTATTTATTCCTATTCGTTCTAGTTCTGTAATTGTTATAATAATAATAATAAAAAAAAGAATCAGAAAGTTTGAAGTAAATTATTCATAAATTTAAAATACCTGCAGGGCTAGTCCAATCAAAATCATCTGTTTCAAAAAATACTTTTCCATCTTTACAAATTACAGCACGAGAGTCACCAAGATTAGCCTGATTAATAAATTATTAGATAAATGTTTTAAATACAGAAAGAACATTTAATCAATTAATTCTATACATACAATATAAATGTTCTTATTTTCCCTTAACATGATAATTGCTGTGGAACCAACATTTTCCGGAAATCTTTTTTTATCTTTTAAAAAATGCTCTAAAAAAAGGAAAAGATATCAATTAGCAAATTTGTAAATTAATTAATTACAATTAATATTACCTTTATCAGCCTTTTCGAAGCTTTTAATCAATAAATCTTTAATGTCATCATCATTATTTTTTAAGGCATTTTTAATTATTTCCGGTATATATTTAACACACTCCTCCGCAACTTCATGTCCTTTAAGAAAATAATCATTAATTGTTTAATATGAATAAGAGAAAGCAAATAAAGGTTCATTGTTTATATTTACCTCCTTTTTTTATTCCGGTTTTAGAATCTCTACCTCCATGACCATCATAAACCGCAAAATATTCATATGTTTTGTTTTTCACGATAAAAGATGCAACGCTTATGAAATCTTCCATAAAAGTGATAGGCTCATCTAAAAAAATATATATGTTAAATAATTAAAATAATAAAATAATAATAATATCAACATATGAATGAAAATTCGAAATTAAAAACATACATTGAGACAAAAGTCCTTGCGCAGTTACAGCGGTGACTATAAGATCTTGAATATCATCATATTTATGAATTTCGGCTTTCGAGGATGCACTGATGGAACTCGTTAAGATAAAATCATCTCTTGACTCATTGATAGATATGTCCGACATACCTCTTGAAGGCAAAAAGGACTTTTTTTTTATAAGTTTTTTAACGTTCTGCATGATTACCTTACGGTCAAATATAGGAAATTTGTTAAACAAAAAAGAGGTGATAGAACAAGTTCCTATTTATTATTTACAAATATACGAAAAAAAATTAAACCAATTTTGTTTAATAATAATACGTACAATAACAATTACGGTAAGTAATTTTTTTTAATTTAGAAATTAAGAAATAATTGTATGGTAATTTAATAAAAAAGTAAGGATATTCGAAAAAAACAAAAATTTCTTTAATTCCTTGTTTGAATATGTATGAAAAAAATTTTTAAAATTCCAAAAAAAAAATTCCTTTACAGGATTAAAAAAAATAAAATCGGCATAATGAAGTGAAGTACGAAGTACGACAACCAGCAGACAAGCCATATATGGTTTACTCCGGGATGTACAACTTGTTTTTGTATTTGTATCACTAATACGTCAATCAGCTGATAAATTATTTAATTAAATTTTTGTAAATTTTTTTTTTTTTTATTTCAGTTTTGGAAATTTTTTTTTTTTTTTTCAGTTCCTTTTTTTCTTATTTTATCTATAAAATTAATGGAAGTAACAAACAATGAGAGAGATATAAGTTCCTGTACGACCGCAGCAGATATAAATGGAGGTGCATTGTCGTTATTACCGCCAGAGATTCTCGTAAACATATTTAGTTTTTTTTCAGATTCCGTTAAAGATTTATTATTATGCGCACAAGTTAATCAAACATGGCACCATATAATTACATCATTTTACATATGGCGTACAGTAAAATTTAATAAGTTCGAAACGTTTTCAAGATTTCATGAAATATTACAGCTAATAACGAAGACGAGAAGAAATCGAGCGTTAGATAATTGGAGTAGATTTGTAAAAGCATATTTGAACGTAATAAAGTCTCCCATTTCAAGAACTTCAGAAGAAGAATACGAAGAAGAAGAAGAAAAAGATGTAGGGGCCCAAATTTCTTTTACAAAACCGACTTATTTTTATTCAACAAAATTTTATGGATATTTTGTTAAAAAACTTGATTTATCGAGAATTCACAGAAAAAATCTTATCACTGAGGAAATGCTTCGCGACCTTTTTCCAAACATACCAAATCTTGAGAACGTTAATTTTTATAATTGTTATACAGTTACTGATAGGGTAATTGAAAAATTAACGAAATCATGTCATCACTTAAAGAAATTAAAATTATTCGGATGTACAAGTCTCACGAATCGATCATTGTATTGGATTGAAATGAGATGTTCTAAACTTACCACGTTAAATATAGGGTGAGTAATATTTAATGAAATTTATTAAAAAAAAATTTTTTTTTATTATTTTTTTCCGATTTCTGATTTTTTTTTCTTTTTCCTAGTTTTTGCGTTATCATCACTCCAAATGCGTTACAAAGCTTGGTAAATAGATGCAAGGAACTCACGTCGCTCACAATATCACATTGTTTAAATACTCGAGCAATTTCTTTAATCCCCATGGTAAAAAACCTTCAAGGATTACGAAAATTATATATGCATTCCAGCTTTACATCCGATTTAATTGTCAAAAATATTATTTCACAGATTCCAAGTTTGCGTAAATTGGATTTGGGAATCAGTAATCCAAAGCTTACCGATGAAGCTACAAATATAATTTCACGACATTGTCCAAATCTTGTTTATCTTTCTTTATCATTTAGTTTAATTACAAGGTTAGGTTTAAGGACTATCGGGCGAGGATGCAGGAAACTCTTGTTTATTGACTTAAGTGGATGTTATTTGATTGATGATGAAATTTCTGATTTCTTAAGTTATTGTCCTCGATTAAAAATTATTTATCTTAATTATTTATTACAGATATCGGGAAAAAGTTTTCTTTCTATAATCAAATCGAGTCAAATAGAATACGCTTCATTTACTAGTAGTAAAATTTTGGAAGTATCATCATCAATTGATTTACTTCCTCCTTCTTCTAACGAGGAAAGATCTTGTTCTAAGATTAGAAAATTGGTATTAGATAATTGTGAAATTTCAGATAAAAATTTGAAACAAATTTCTTATTGGTGTAAAAATTTGGAATATTTAGATATTAGTTTAGTTTATGATATGGATGATAGGGTTTTACAAGATTTATGTGATCGACTAGAAAATTTGAAGGAGGTTATTGCAAAGAATTGTTATGGAGTAAGTGTAGCTATGCAAGATAATTTAAGTAAACATCAAAGAATTAAGTTCACTTTTTAAAAGAAGATGGATTTGAGAAAAAATGATCGAGAAGGAAATATAATATTTATTACATTTTTTTTATTGCATATTTGTAAGGGATTTCACGCGCACGTTATCTATATAATTCAATAAAAAAGTGAAGTTTCTTGAAGAATTTGTCTCGTTAATCTATGTTCAACTTTATTCTTTAGTTAACTAAAAGAATGTTATGTGGAGGACTGATGATTTAAATGATCAATGATTAAAAGAAATTTAACACGCATCAATTTTAATATCCCACTATATCAGTAATAAAAAAAGTACTAGCGAAAATTCTCATAAAATCTAACGAATGACCAATTGTAACGAGAGATAGCTTAGATCAGATTGCTCAGACCAGAAAGAAATAACAAAGATAATTGATTGACTCGTCAATTTTGTCAAAATCAACACGACAGATCATGATCCTAGAATCTGAGAATCTGAGAAAAGGGCTTATTCTTGAATTGAGAACCGATATCCTCTTATTCCACTAATATTTTTCTAAAAATTCGTAATTTGTCATCGGCACAAAAGAAGTTTGATCTGAGTAGGTTGCAGCAGGTCGTAGCGTCGTCATATCATTTATATGATTTAACAAAATCAAATATAATCAGCCAAAATAACGGGATGTTTTCTTTTTATGATTAAAGAAAAAAAATATACCGAAGTATTAAATAAATTGAAACAATTTCTTGAAAAAGAAACTGATTTATCCACAAATAAATTTATCAAATAAAATTTATTTGATATGTTTGGCGTTAAACTCGGAAGGGTGTTTTTTACTCATCTTAAAAAAAAAGTGGCAGATTATTTTGTACAAACGATTATTATGGAATATGAAATTGAAGTGTATGAAAGAAATGTTGACATCTAAACAATGGTCATAATAATAGATCTTCTTTTCGTAACTACCTAATCAATAACTAGGGTATTAGTAGGGTTCTAGTCCGATTCTTTACTGACGACACTTCCCACTTATAACATCTTACTGATGGAACCACTACTTATTGTGCCTGAACTTCGTGTCAAAAGTTTTTTGCGCTTCACAACTTTTGGTTTTTCTCCCGCTTGGACATGTGTGCTGGTAGAATGTTTTTCCCCGCCTTAAACGTAGATGAAGATACTTTTCGTTTCGCTACCTCCTCAATTCAGTACTTGTTATATCTGATAACCATGCAGTGAAAACGTATTGCAAATCTTATTTCCAAAGGGTATACGTGATTTGATGTGTTCTTTGTGCGAGTTTTTTTTCTAAGTTTTGGCGAAAGTATTATTTGGAAAACACGACTAAATAAGTTGAATACATATTTATAAGGAAACGTGTTATTTTTTCACTCTAAATATGTCCTGAAGGACTATTCTTTGTGATTTTTTATTAGTTTTGTGGGAAGAAAAAGAAAGAAAAAGTGTTACAAAAAAAGAGAGAGAAAAGGGGCTCTTTTTAAAGAAAGAGAATGGGTTTTGTTAAGAAAAGAGGGATTTTCTCCAACTGAAAAAAATGTATCTAAATATCTAGATAGGAAACAGTTATCTCTAGTGAAAGTATTAGTTTCTTGTTGCAATAACTGAAATATGCACTTTTTGGGAAGCTTTTGAATGAAAAATATGTTAGTTTCACATGTTATTTATGTTGAATCTTCCAATTGTAAAATGCATCTGAGATACAAATCTCGAGAATGTGTTGAGATTTGAGATCTTAATCATTGACTTTATATGTTAATTAATAAACCTTGATCTTTATTTAGATTATCAATTATTGCGCCAAGATTTTTTAAAAGAATATTTTACCATGATTTTATTTCTTTTTGGCGTATGATTCATACTTACAATACATTATAATTTTGCAATTCAGGCTATAAATATTCAGGGGCGTGAATATCATTATACCTGCTTTAGTTATTATTGAAAATCCAATGTATTTGTTTTTTATACAGTACATAAATTTTAATAATAAAGGAATGAAAGGTCCACAAATGCGCTATACTACACGTCTGATTGGATATTTTTCGATATACTGTGTAATTATACTGTATACCGTTTATTATATATAAACCTTCTGCTTACATAATTGCTTAATACTTTTAAGCGTTAAAGAACTGACCTAACAATATCTCCAAGGGTATACAGTATAGATAATGTGTGGATACATCATGTAACGAATATGTATCTCGTACAATTTTTGATTGTGCAGTCATCATCATGTAAGAATTCAATTTTAAATTTAATAAACTAGGCTTCGTTTGATTTATTTTCACATCTGGCATAGTTCACAGTAGTTAGTCCGAAATAATTATTATAGTTGGATTACAGAAATGAAATGAATGGTCAATACATATATTCATGTGCGGCAAAAGTAAGCTTGAAAAAATCATTGACGTTGGCGTAACGATTGTTTCCTATGTGATTTATTATTTATCCTAATTTATGAGGTAAAGCAGCCTTTTTTCGGAAAAAAATGAACATATATCCTAAATGGTTAAAAGAAGTGTGTAATGAAATGGAAGGTATGAACAGTATGAACGTGAAATATTCCAGGAGAAAAGTTCTAAACGGGTCAATTGTGCTATTAAGGTACGATATACATGCTGCATTAACCTAACCATATCTTCACGAAAATGGTCCCATGTATTATACATATATTTCTTGGTATTTTTTTACAGATTTCTAAATAATGAAATTTTTGAGAAAAGTATTTTGTCGAAATTTACCCTCCCTCTAATTGTTTATAAGTTTAATAAAAATTAAACATGAAAGTAACTAAATTAATCATACCTTTATTAGGTTTAATCTCAATAAACAATGTTGAACCCGTGCCCATGAAACAATCATGTTTTTTCACGCCATGTGGAGATATGACTTGTAGTGGACCGGGTTTTTTTGGTTGTGCTATAAATTTATGTGTAATTCTCCCGGATTTTATGCATAGAACGAATGCTATCTGTTGCAACGATGTTGAAGAATGTAAGAAAATTAGATATCCAAGCAAAAAAGTGAACGGTAAGAAAAAATAAAAAAGAAATAATCAATTGCAATCACAAATAGCTGTGATATAGTTTAAATATTACTATATCTGAGATTGCTTCATACTATTATGCTGTAGGTGTAAATGAAGGCCCTATTAGTAACGATTTTCAGATTCCTATTGACACCAGCGATACCGTTGCTATGCTTGATCGATTGAGTTATTATGCCTCAGACTGCTTTTAAGGATCGCTGGCAAAGAATCGATAAAACTTAGTTCATTTAAAAAAATTTGATAAAGTGTTAGTAGGATAGAAAAATCGTATTTATTTTCTTGCAACTTTGTAATTGCTTTTTACGATATATTTCTATTATTATAACAATAAAGCACTCCTTCAAGAATTTCTATATTTCTGGCAAATCTTTCGCATATTGGGATGCGAGAATGTGAGTAATATGAGAAATACTAATTAATTACTTTGATTCTCTTCCACAGTATTTCTTAATCTATAAATCCAATAACGAAAATAGATCAGTACAATATCACCGAACTGGAACACTGCCCTTCAGTTTATGACTATTGGTATTATCTTACATGATGAAGAGCATAGCTTTCGGCATGATCTATAGTATTTTTTCTCTGTATTATGTTGGACCACCATGGTCTGTCACGTTCTAACGATTATGAATAATGAAATGGGTTGAAGGGTCTCCAGAAACAATAGGATTCATGAAAATTAGGATGATACCGCGATTTAATTTTGTCCTAGACACTTTTTCACCATAATTCGACTCTTTAAAACATTTGTAACACAATTTCACAAGACGCTGCTCGAACATGGAGCCTTAAGAAATTATTTTTGTTACGTCATCATAATCATCATTAGTTGTGGATGAAATTCGACGGACAAGATGGAAAAAATATGACAACCTATTTGAGAAGCTTAAAGATTTAGCTATAATCCATTGGATCTTTTGTTTACCTTCGAGTACTCGGTATGATGAAAGGACCGAGGAGGCAATAGAAATATGGTTGAGGAAGTGTTTTAGGCGTTTCATATAACCGTAATATATTATTTTTTAAATGTAATCCTGTGTTTATCAATTCATTGATCATTTTTTCGGTGAAATTATAAACTAACCTATACGTCTACTATATCTTAAAGCAAAATCAAGTATTATATATTTTTAATTAAAAAGGAATTCAACCAAAGATTATATATTGTATCAATAATTATTTGACTTATGCCAGAAAAATTTTTTTGGGATATTTATTTAGCCGGACTTCTTATACGAACGATGTTATGACGTTTTTTGAAATGTAAAAAAAAATCCCTATTTTCGAATATTTGTTAAAGTAACAATACTAATATTTCTTTGATTATTTTCTTTTACTTTTAATATAGATGCAACAATAAAATATCACACACGAAATTAATCCTCCATTACATCTGAGAATTCATGTTTATCTCCGAACTAACCGAATTATAGAGGCAGAAAAATCTTTAATATATTTTCTTCAAATTAAAAAATAGCGATTTTTATGGAGAAAATTAATTTTTTTGAGAATAAACATTAATAATTTATATTTTGTGATGATTTTGATCATTAATATAAATACATGAAGGTCAAGTATTGTGCTATTGAACATTAAAATAAATGTTCCCCCAATTGATAGGCAATTGAATAAAGAATCTGTAAAACCTAAAGAAGCAGATTTTCATCACAATAAAGCAATGGTAAGTTTTCATAAAATTATAGAAAAATTAATTTTAGTTCCAGAATAGATTTCTTTAAATATGTATGAAGAGATTTTCTCTTCATTACTTCAGATCATAAAAGGCCAGTAGAAGGTACTTTTCTACTAGCAACTTTTATTTCATACCATGATAGATCCCCTAGTAGTAAATGGAATCTAATGCTACGAAGCTCTCCATTAAATACTACAAAACTTCTTTGACTATTGTAAGAAAGGTACATAGTCTCCAGAAATGACAGATCTTTCAATAGGTGTTCAAAAAACTTTCATAGTGTAACAGAAAAGCTGTGCCTGGAACCATAAGGTATATATAAAAGAATAACATTTTTTGTAAAAATTTTTGTAACTTCTGAATTTCTGTATGAAGTTGAATTTCTTCATTATTGTCTTTGCTTGAAAGTATTTAAACATTCTTTAAGACATTCTGATTCTTTACCAAAAGATATCTTAAACTCTTCTTCAAATATTAATTGTTATTTGTAATAACTTATATATTTCCAATTTTTAGGTCAGTTCTTCTTAAAATAGTCCATACAGTGAATCCCATTGGCCGGAGATTAAAATTTATTATAGTGAGAAATTCACTATACTGAGGGTCATATTATTATCATATAAAACAAATCTGTATCTGAACTTTTCTTCATTATAGCAAGTTATTCACTATATAAAAATTTTCTATAGAAAGGGTGATATGAACTGTTATTAGAAGGGAAAACTTTTTCTTAAACATTTGATTAAAAAATAAAATAAAAATTAGCTTATTTGGTTTATTTTCAGTAAAGAAAATAAGGCATATAATTGAAAAAATTAATCAGCAAAATAAAAAATCATGCAAAAATTAAAAGAGTGATGTGTTAATATTTATATGTGTTCTCAGTTTTAATATATATCGAGATCTAACTGTAATTATAAAAATTATAAAAGGCGCCAATATCAGATATCTGTTTTTACATGATTAATGCGATCGTGTTATTTGTAATAAATTTGTATATTTATCTATAATTTGATTAATTATGATTAGGATTATGCCATTATGGTTATTATTATTGATTTACAGTATAACTTTAAATCTAAATCTAAATCATTGCTCTTAATGAAAAAAATAACCAAGTTTTTTCCTAATTCGTCTAGTAAAATCTAAAGAGTATAATAAGAAAACTATGAGAACTTTGTTTAAAAATTATGTGCTAACTATATTTAAGATAAAAAGACTGTTGCCGTTATAATAAACACCACTAAAAAAAGAGACCACAAAATAATATTCATAATACTAATAAATCTGATCTTAATAGTAATTTTTGTTGCAATAGGAAAAAATTCATTAATATCATGTTCAGTTTGATCACTCAATACCATTGAAAATGGTCCTCCTGAAGGAGGATTTCACCGAATATCCGGATAGTGAAATTGTTTTTATTCGGATGAAGGATTTCGTAATGTTTGTTATTAGTGAATTGTAATACATTTTATATTCACTAGCCGAAATTATTAGTAGTGTTCGACGCGATTATAAAAGAGAGAAATTTTAGTTTATATATAAACGAAAAAAATTAATAAAACAATTATATGGTACTTACAAATAGGGGTTAGACTTCATAGTACCATTCTTCTACCAAAAGGATCCAATTATCTTCACAGAGTTCTTCTTGTTCTTGTTTGATAAATTTCCATACATAACGTTCTTGTTGAATACCTCGAATTTCAATAATTAAGTCATGTTGCGGAGAGTAAATATTTGGATGTTTATAAGGATCCGAACTAAGAATATTAGATGGGGACTCTATAAAATCATTGCTAAAAGTTCTTGATGCTTATGAGGACAAGGAACACCATGAATTATTTGAACCACAGCCACGTCATTGTCTTTATCAATTAGTAACTTCTTTTTTTTTAGAAAATTGTCGCAATTGTCAGAATCACCAGAGCTGCAGTAATCTTCTTCATCTTCATTAAAATTATGTCGCCAGTAATTTATAAATGATAAAGATGGACGATAGTCTCATCGTGTGTTACGAATTAACCTCTTTTTATGGATATTATTTTTTGAGTATTGCTAAATATCACTGCTTGTGATTGTCACCTTACCAGAATTAGAGTAGAATTTTGGGCAGAATTAAAAATGTCATGAAACTCTGCCCATTAATATTTGCTAATGCTGGCGCGGTGAGATTTGTATGGCCATTTTGAGCGATTTCTAGTAATACGCAAATTATTGAACTTGATAATTAAACTTTCATTATTTCGTTTGTCTTAATAGCTTTATCACAAATTTAGTATTTAGATTCTAGTTTACTAATTCATGAAAATTGGACAAGCTGCTGTTGTACTATATAATCTAATTAAACGTTTTGGTTCTGAAAACGGTAACACACTTCCTTGTTCGCCCGATATATTAAAATTTATCGGTTTTTATCGGTTTAATTTTTGTAGGTTGAAAGTATCCAGTGGTCACTTGTGCCTTTTGCTTGCCTTGTAAGTATATGAGATTACCAACCAAAATGTTGGTATGATTATTATAGTAGCCTGTGTTGAAATTACTAGTAAAACCTCACCTTTTTCTAACTATAAAAGTCTTCTTTTCCATCCGAAATCTATCCCATTCTACTAATCTGATCTCATGTCATCAACCATAATGTATGGTGGATTCGGTCTACATCACATTGTGTCTCGTTGCGAGTTAGTTGCGAACTATGTGGAAAAATATTATGTCATGCATTCTTTCTGCATGAGTTCGTATGTCTGATTTATCCAGACAATGTTGCGGTAAAGCGTCATTTATAGACCTTGAACGTAACATTTTATGACATACTTTCAAGCTCCTTTTGGACATCATTTTCTTCAATGAGTCCAATCATCAACAGAAAATCTTTCAAGCACTAGCTAATTGGATACATATTAGTTTAGATTTTTTTTTCGAAACTCACTATTTTGTCTTTTTAAATCAGCAACTTCTTTCTGGCGATCGACCATATTCCTTCCAAAATATTCTGTGTATTTTTCATTCGTTTCTACCCTTTTGAAATTTGTGTATTAAGGATGAATTCTAGATTTTAATCCATCTCCACCTATGAAAATTGAGATAATAGGTATATCCCAAGAAATTTACCGTATATTATGACTAGTATTACCCATTCATTACTAGACATGCCAAGACACCAGAGAAATAATAAGAATATGGCCGATATTTTTATGCGGCAGGCCCGAAAAACGCTAAAAAACTACAGAAAACGCGATCGATATAACATTTCATTACATGTTATTCAAAATGATTAAAAATCAGGCGAACATTAAATATATCGCTCTCCGCGAAGAAAGTACCCGGTGTCATTTAGCAAAATATTCTGGACATCTCTTGCTCTTCAGTGTGATTTGCTCAAATTATCCTACGACAAAATAAGCGGAAAAATATGTAGTGTTTGACCATTATAGACATTGCGTTTTATTGTAAAGACGCATTTGTGATTACCTCAAAAAACGTTGCAAATGTTTTTGAGAGTATTTATAACAATCCACTAAATCCACCATGTGGCCAAGCTTATGCCTCTTGCTCACGTGACACTATAGTAAGTGATTAGTAACTGCGTGATAGTAAAACAAATTCTAAATTTACGTTTCCTGTTTCTCTCGCCTTTTTTAGGAGTCTAAATATTATTTCCCGAGTTTAAGAAGTTGTTTATTGATTGATGATATATTAACGTAATAAGAACATCGATTTACTTCAATTATCTTGCAAATCGCTTATTTCAATTATAATACATTCACTATACGTATATATTTATTATTGTCAAATATTTTTAGTATCTATAGGCGTAACCATACTAATCGAGCTCCGGACTCTCAACGGTTTCCGGAACCTTTAGTAACGTCACCAAATTTTCCGCAGCATGCCGATCATTTCGAATTTTGCAATATTGTTGCTACATTGGTTGAGTTGACATCACTTAATCACCCATTTGCATTTGCTTTTTTAAAAATTCCCTATTACATAAATAACATAATATCCTTTATTCATTCAGATTGACAATGTGCATATAGGTTTGATATTTTTGCCATTAAATATGATTTACCAAATTTGTTATTAGCCGCACAATCTTTTAATGAAAAATAGCTTTTTATTGTGAAAATGTCAAAAAAAAAGAACATACTTATTAGAATATCCTTCTTTCGTGGAATTCCAGAGTATGCAATATGTCAATCACTTTTTTTTTTACCCGAAAATAAATATAAATTAACAGTTTTGGAAATTTGGCGTAATTACTCTCTTTTTTATTTATTTATTATTCTTTTATTTATTTTATTTAAAAATCCTTCCAACACCTGAAAACTTTTTTTTTTTTAAAAAAAAATTAATATTATATACTTATAAATAGCATGGAACAATTAACTAGCAAAAAGCCAAAAATTACGTCAATACACAACGTGCTTAATGAATTTAAGAAATGTAATGGATGTAATCGAAAAAGAAAATATTTAAATGAATTTCAAATTTGTAAATCATGTTACAAACCGATGACAGCGTTTATACCAAGTGGAAATAAAGTAGTTGATGATTTTATTAAACACACTCTAACCAATCGTAATGAAATGGCTGGGAAAATGGAATTTGTTCCTTATGATAGATTTAAAGATATAGAATTTATCGCTGAAGGAGGATTTAGTAAAGTTTACAAGGCCACTTGGATTGATGGACCAATTTCTTATTGGAATCATAAAAAACTAAAATATGATAGTTATGGTGAGATGAAGGTTGTACTCAAGAAACTTCATAATACTAAAAACATAAATTCCAGAGGTTTAAATGAGGTACGGTATTTCTCGATTATGAGGTTTAAATATTACTTACTATAATATTATGAATAACATTTCTAATTTTAATTTTAGCTTAAGATATTTTATAATTTTACACAATCAATGACTAGTTATGACCCGTATGATAATGATGGTTATTATCCATACGTTAATAAATGTTATGGTATTACTCAAGACCCTATTACTAAAGATTTTGCGATAATTATTAAATATTATGAATCAGGAGATTTAACACATTATTTACTCAACGATTTTTTTAATCATAGTTGGTTAGATAAGTTAAATATATTGAACTATATTGTACTTGGACTTAAAAATTTGCATAATGCAAATATAATCCATGGAGATATTCGTGATGGAAATGTCTTTCTTGAAAATAACGTTGCAATAATAGGTGATTTAGGATTAAGCAAATCAGCATTAGTACATGATGATAGTAATGAAATTTATGGGGTTATTCCATTTTTTGCTCCAGAAAATTTTGTAAAGCCGATATATACTAAAGCTTCAGATATATATGGATTTGGTATGATCATGTGGGAATTAATGACAGGTAGAAGGCCTTTATGGGATAGAGACCATGATATAGAACTTATTCATGAAATATGTGATGGCTTACGACCACCAATTGTCACAAATGCACCAGAAGGTTATATTGATTTAATGCAAATGTGTTGGCATCACGATCCAACGAAAAGACCAACAATTACTGAAATAGAATCCAAAATTAAAAATATTTTGCTTATAGAATCTGATAATTATCATGAAAGCAATCCAACTAAAATTATAAAATCATCAGATATTGGACCTGTAACAATAAATAATCCAAGTGGTATATATGAAAGCAATTCTTTGAGTTTAATAATGTCTACAGAATCTACAAGAAGCTTAACAGAAATTGGTAAATATTTTACATTTATATTCATTTTAAATGATTAATATCTTTTTTTAAAGAAATATTTTAAATATTTTATTAGACTCATACCAAAGTGATGAAGGATCTTTTAATGGTAGTTTTTTATTTATTATTTAATGTGTTGATTTATTTCCTATCATTACTAATAATTTTTATCTTATATTTTATTTATTATTTTTTTATCTTTCCTTTAGAAGATAAAAGGAGACTTGATAATAATTTGATTGAAGGTGATTCTTCTTATAATCAATTTTATTATTGATTAACCTATGATCTATATTATTAATCTTTAATTATTTATTTAGATGAAGATACGAAAAAAATTAGATTGTCTGAAAATGATGATGATGGCATTGCTTAAATATAATATCATACTATATAAAATATTTTAGATTTAAACGAAATTTACGTTCTTTTTTAGACGTATGTATTTAAATTCAATCTTTTAAGATCTAACGAACACACTTTCATCATAGATTATACTATCAAAGAAATTGTTTATGTATAAGCGTTTAGTTTTTATTAAATAGACTTATTTATAAAATGTTTTCAAATTTTGTTGTAATAAATAGATATTTATTTCTCATTTTTTTAATTATTAAATTAATTGTGAACGCATGCAATTAACTACTTGATAATGAATGATTTACTTGAATAGGCCACGCCAACTTACTAGTGTAAAATATAGGTATTAATAGTTCTAATTCTTAATAGTTTTCAGATATAAAAATTTATAGCGTCGGTCGTAATTACAGAACGGAATTACAGCATGATAATAAATCATTTATTCTAATATAAACCCACAACGTATATTTTGACCAAATACGAATCGAAAAAAAACTTTTTTATGAAATATTACGAATGTAATAAGAAAATATTAAAAGTTTTATATTGAATATTCCAACAATTTATAATAGATTTCTTTATTAGTATCGAAATAACTCAATGATACATTGATCTATCACATGTGTCAATAAAGTGCATTCCAACAATTTAGTTCATCAGCAATATTCCAAAATAATTTTCAGAATTCCCGAAAATGTAAAAAGAGAATTTTAAATATTTTTAATGTAACTACAATCAGCTAAGTTTGGAACTCATTGCAGTGAAATATATACAATTAGACAATAAGGAATAGTAATAGTATTCTTAACTTTATACTGAAAAGACAAATTATCGCTGTTTTCACTGTAGTGTTGCGATCCGTCAATCCGTCAATCCGCGAATCCGTGGATTTATCCGATTCGAAACCATCTGGATCCAGATGAAGGTGTCATCTGCTATTTCTGTATATAAATCCGGATCTATCCGTTTGGTTTATAGTATTAAACGGATCCATTCGGATGGTTATCCAGGACCCCGAAATATACATAAAAGGGTTTTGCGTATAATGAGTCAAAAAAATCATGTAGATCATTCCTTTTATGGATAATCCCAGCCAAAATAATATTTCCTAATTTAGATAATGGCTGAAATTATCGTAATTCCGGNTATGGATAATCCCAGCCAAAATAATATTTCCTAATTTAGATAATGGCTGAAATTATCGTAATTCCGGCCCTGAAAGAATGCGTATTTTGGACCACTACTGGACCTGACCTCTACATATATATTTCGGGGTCCTAGTTATCCGGATCATCCGTTATTTACGGATCGGTCATCCGAATTTTTATATGAAATTCATTCGGATGGTCATCCGGATAATCCATTTATTTACGGACCGGATTAAACGCCATGCAAATTACTTAATAAATATAATTATAGATTACAGGATGATTATGATTACTGGAAAAAACCGGACAATTTGTCCGGTAATCGTCCTGTAATTATAATCACCCAATGATCACAACGTATACAGAGATCTTAAAACTGCAATAAATAGTCGTAATAAAAAATAATTTTTGACAAAGAGTCTAACAAAAAATATATTTTCAATTACCGCTAATAAATATAATTATACCACTCCATGAAAGCAATATATGATTCCGCGATGCAAGATGATTTAGGATTAGGATTACAAGTTATGAACTCATATGTAAAGATGGTTCGTTTAGGAAACGGAGAACTCGAAAGACGCCAATCAATAACGCTAATTCTCTATCGGATTACGAATAATTTTCGAAGCAACAGATAGTCTAGCGGGTTCGAAGGTTCCCAATAATGATTTGGTCGAAGATTTAACAAATTAAATTCGGAATTTAGTAATAGGATAAGGGTAATGTAGAAGGATCAAAAAGTAAAGGTAAAGAAATCGAAACGGATAATGACAAATTGAATGAAAACAATAAACGAATTCAGGGAAGTAGGGAGGACAATGATAGCGAGTAAATGAATAATATCTTTCAATAGAGTAATTTTTTTAATATACTTTAATGAACTTAATCACAATATATTTAGGTTTGTTTGTAGTATAGTATAGAACATTATCAGACATTCAGACATTTACTAATTGGTGATGTTAGTACAACCTACTAAGCTGTATAAAAAAAAATACTTTGTAAGCCTGATAAAAAAAGTTACTCGGCACACGTGACCTCATAACTGCGGCACCATTGTGCCTTGCAATAAAATACAATATGATCAGTGAGTTGCGCTCAGTAAATTCCACCAATCATATTGCTTATTGCAAATACAACAGTTACTCGGCAGTGAGTCGGCACTTCAAGACCGACAACAAATGACAAGTCAAAATCCGGACAAATCATTATACCGACAAGTTGATTATTCTGACAATTTTAGGAACAAAATTATGAAATTTACCACATTTAAACTAAATATTACATGTTGTAACAAATTATTTTATTAGAACACTCATCATTAGATTTAAAATTGTCGATATAATGACTTTTCAGGATTTTGGATTGTCGAAATTTTGTTATCGATCTTATGTTAGTCGTGCAAATGACTGTCGAGATTTTGATCGGATACCGTATTTTTTTACGTCTAAATCGGGAATGATTACATTGGTAATTATTATTTCAATACTAATAAAGTTTATAAAAAAAAATAATAATTATATCACTCATAGTATAAAAATAAACTTTCTATGTACAATACATTAAATGCACGATCTTCAGACTAAAATATATTTTTCATCGTTTATTCGAGGAATTATAAAGGCAAATTTTTTATTTAAATAAATTTTTAAATGAATATTATTCGTGGAATTCAAAAGTATGCGTTGTGACGATCACTTATTTTTAAATTTTTGTAATCACCGAAAATAAATGTGGCGTAATTAAGATTTTTTTTTTTTCAATCTTTCCTTCATTTTGCAAATATTTTTTTTCAAGAATTTAATAATATACGGTATAATTATCATGGAGCGTACAACAAAAAATAGACCAAAAATTAAATCAATGCACAACGTACTTGATGAATTTAAGAAATGTAATGGATGCGATCGAAAAAGAAAATATTTAAATGAATTTCAAATTTGTAAATCATGTTACAAACCGATGACAGCATTTATACCAAGCGGAAATAGAGTTGTTGATGATTTTATAAAATATACTTTGACCAATCGTAATGAAAAAGCGGGTAAAATGGAATTTATTCCTTATGATAGATTTAAAGATATAGAATTTATTGCCGTAGGAGGATTTAGTAAAATTTATAAGGCCACTTGGATTGATGGACCAATTTCTTATTGGAATCATAAAAAACAGAAGTATGATAGTTATGGTGAAATGAACGTTGTACTTAAGAAACTTAGTAGTTCTAAATACATCAATTCTGGAGGTTTAAATGAGGTACGGTATTTTTGATTATTGAATATTAATTTAATTTATCATATAATATAATAACAATACTTACATTAACTTTAGATTAAGATGTTTTATAAATTCATACTTTCAATGGCTAGTTATGATCCATGTGATAATGACGGTTATTATCCATATATTAATAAATATTATGGAATCACTCTAGATCCTACTACTCAGAATTTTGCGATAGTCATTAAATATTATGAATCAGGAGATCTAGCGCATTATTTAATCGATGATTTTTTAAAACATAATTGGATAGATAAGTTAAATATATTGAATTACATTATACTTGGACTTAAAAATATGCATAATGCAAATATAGTTCATGGGGATATTCATAGTGGAAATATTTTACTTGAAAGAAATTTTGCGATTATAGGTGATTTAGCGGAGGCAAAAATCGTAAGTGAATCATTAGATTCTGATTATAATGAGATTTATGGAATTATTCCTTACATGGATCCAGAGATTATTCAGGGAAAGAAATATACTAAAGCTTCAGATGTATATAGTTTTGGTATGATCATGTGGGAATTGATGACAGGTAGAAGGCCTTTTTGGGATCGATACCATAATACAGAACTTATTATTCAAATATGTGATGGACTTCGTCCTCCAATTGTTACAAATGCACCTGAAGGCTATATTGAATTAATGCAAGAATGTTGGCATCATGATCCAAAGAAAAGACCAACAGCTTTTGATATAGAATCAAAAATTCGAAATATTTTGTTAATGGAATCTGATAATTGTCGTGACAATAATCCTACTAAAATTATAAAGTCACCAGATATTGGACCAATAACGATAAATAATCCAGATTTTATTTATAAAAGTAGATCTTTGAGTACAATGATCAATTCTGTTGAATCTACGGAAATTTTTACAAAACTTGGTAAATGGTCAAGACATCTTTATATTAGTTATTACCTCTTTTAAGTAAAATAATTTCACAAATTTATTTATTTAGACCCGTACCAAAGTAGTGATGAATTTTTTAATGGTAATTATTATATTATTTTATTAGCTTCTTAACTATCTGAGTCTAGCGTCTATGTATTATTACTGATAATATTTCATATTTTTTAAAAAGATAAAAGAGAACTTGATATTAATCTGATTGAAGGTGATGTCAGATGTTTTTATAATCTATTGCGCCATTGATTATATATATATTTTTTTAATTTTTTTTTTTTAAAAAAAAATTCAGAAAGAACAAATAAAAAAATTAAATTAACCGAAATTGATGATGATGATGGTAAATATATATATATATTTTTATTCAAGATTTAATGTACTATATATGCAGTATTTAATTAATTTATGCAATATTTTTTAGACGAAGAATTTGAATTTGGTATTTATTAGTTTTGGATTATATCATTTTTTAATTATAGAATCTTTTTCCTAACCATAGATTAATTATGAAAGGATCTATTTTGTCAATATTGCAATTAATAAAAATTTATCATTTGATTTTTAGACCGTTTAACAAAAGAATCTGAGTTTGATCAGTATTTATAGTAATATTGATCTTAGCAAATTTAATAATAGCAATAGTAAGTAATAAACCAATAATTATCTTTTATGATATTCATATAATTAACGAGGTTTGTTGTTTGTTATATTTAGGGATGGCAATAAACCCGACCATAACTGACCATGTGTAATAACCTGTTACATGCAACAGACATCAGGAAATAGTCGGGAAAATAGGGATTGGTAATTTTTATTCAGTTTATTATATTTATTATATTTATTTTTTATGTTCGATTTTTTTTTAATTATATAAATTAATAAAGTATTTAAAAATGTTACCAAATTCTATGATATAAGTTATGTCTCATTTTTGACTTTTTTGAATTAATAAATTTTATGAACAATCATCAATCATCATTGAGCAATTGTTAAAAAGTGGTCAGTTTAATGGCTGTTCGGTCGGTCAAGTGTTCGCTTAATCAGTCAAAGGACTGTTATAATTCCCAGTTATATTACATTTTTAAAATAAAAATAAAAATAAATATAAATATAAATATACACCGAAGGCATCGATGAATATTTCAGTCATTCATTGATACCCATGGAATAACAAGTATGTATGTTACAATTACGTATTATTTGATTTAATTTTACTCACTTTATTTTGGCGATAAAAAAATAATCAGTCATCATTTTTTTAGCTATTATTTTTCAATAAAAGAGATGATTCCCTTTTTTCTAAGTCTTTTAGTTATTTTCATTTCCCTGGGCAGTAATTATTTTTCCGTTATCATACTTAACTCGAAAAGTTCCTTAACCGCTATCCGGTTCTGTAAATCAGCCCATAAAATTCAAGTTGTACGAAATTTAAAGTTGTATAAATTTTCGTACGTATTAGTATAACTTTTATTATGTTTTGTAAACGCAAGTACTATCAAAATATGAGTGCGTACGTCTATACTTGCATCAAAGTACAGTACTACTTTACTTATTACCTAAAATATCTTTTTTCATTTTTAGTGATGATTTGAACTCATCGAGTAGTCATACCTTCTCTTTAAATTGATATTAAAATTTTGATACATAAAGACCTTATAGTTATATGTGCAACTTACCTTGTAAAAAAGTCAATCCTTTTTTTTATTCCATCTTTTTTCTTTAAAAGGCTCATATTTCCGGAATTAATAACTTTATATCACGGAATTTATCGAATTATTTATATTTTCCGTGAATGGATCCGTGAAAGGCTCATTTTTACGGAGTTTTTACAGAAATAACGGATAGAATTTTTTATAGGGCTTAAATGGAAGACAATAGTTAGACTAGTCAAATTAGGGTTAGTGAGGAGTATAATTATAATTGTAGTCATACCGCGTAAACTATATTAGAATTTATATTAATAGTATTATAAAGTTATAACTCATAAGAGTATCAATAGTGGTGTAATTATTCTCTATATGAAAGTACAAAAAAAAAAAAAAATTAACTTCAATATGATGCCCATATTTTTAGCATTAGTATGGTCAGAAAAACATTTCTTGATGTATATTATTTAGTTTTGCGATACACTTCGTCTAATGTATGTTTTAATTCCTCATATCTAACCTGTAAATGAGTTGAATTGCATCTACAAATAAATCAAGATTTTAATGGAAAGTATTTAAATATAATATAACATTAAAAAAATTTTGCTTTAATTTTAAATAAAAAGTATTATCAAAATCAACGAAATAGTCCGTATGACATCTATTGGTTATTTACAATATATTAACTAAAGAACAAATTATTATTTTTGGGTTATAGTTTCAATAAAAAAAGTTAGAAATAATAATAATAATAATCAAAATCTCAAGTTTTCATAAAAAAAATTGGGGTGAAAAATCATAATCCCAAAAATTCAAAATCCTGACACTCATTATCCCAAAAACTAAATTTATTTTTTCTAACCAATAATATCATTAAATTTTGCAAAGTATGATAATTAAAATTATTAATTATTAATAAAAATATAATTTTTGAAATATAATCATTAATTTTTGCGAAATATTTAATATTTAATTATTACTCAATAGAAATGAAGTTTATAATTTCTATTTTAAAAATGAAATATGTTAAAACAAAATTTTTTAATGTTACATTGTACTTAAATACTTTTTACAGAATTTTCTAAAAGTTCATGTAATTTTTAGAGAATCACACAAAAAATGAAGTAATTAATATATATACGCTGTCTTTTTAGAAGAGATTATGTAATAACAACTCAAAGTGATAAAAAAGCATATATTAATTATAGTATGAATATTTAATACAATTTACAATTATTCTCAAATTATTGACTAGTTAATTCAAGTTGTAACGAAGGAATCTGAACTCTGAAGGAATATTAGACAAACTACAATATTAAAAATTTTATTTAACTACTAATATTTTAGCTCGTAATTAAAAATGGGTTCTCGTAACTTGAATAATAGTTAAATTAACCATGCTATAATAATGTGTATACCGAACGAAATGAAATATTTTATTCTCTTTTATGTTTTCTCAAAAAATGCTTTGTTTTTACTTTTTTGATAAAAAAAAAAAGTTCATTAATTATTGTAAATAACAGGATATTAAGAAAAATGCTTCCTTCTTTCATTGTAGAATATTCAATGCTTGAAGAATATGATCCTTTAAATGTAAAATTTGATGTTATTAGCCATATTTCTTAAATATAATACAAAATATTGTGCTTGGTAGATGAAATCCTCACAAGATACATAATTTAGTAACTGAATAAAAAAAATATTCTTGAAAAATTTGGGTTGACCAGGGTAAATTGAAAACACTAAAAAAAAAGCTTTAAATTAATTTAAGTTTTTAAGAATTTTTCTCGTTTTTTAAATTATGATTGTCGAAAAATAACTTTAAATTTTTAAGGGAGAACAATAAATATCATAATTCTAATAATATTAAATACTTTTCTTGGGGACAAAATCCCCTCGCTAAGAAAATCATCTGAAAAAACTTAATTTGCTAGTTTAACTTTATTTATTTGATTTATTTGTAAGAAAATTTAAATATGATAATCACTAATTCATAGTAATTAATAAATAAATTTTCCATCATTTAATGCATGATTCCAAGCATGATACCAAAGATGTTGCTTTGGTTCAATTGGAATATCTCCTTTACTTTTTAATCCATTAATCCAATATTTAAGTGGTGTCTCTCCATTATTTTGTATAGTTGGTTGTAAACAATCAAGCACATATTTAAATAATAAATCACCAGTAAGAACAGGGATTTTAAGTACACTAGCAATATAATCAGCTGATTTGGCTTTAATACATATTGGAGCCCAAAGATCTGCTACATTTGGACTGTCCATATGCCAACTTCCGTCGTTATTATCTACACTAGCTCCAAATACAAAAACATGCTTAGAAGTTAATTCTGAAAGTTCTCTAACATCATAATAATAATAAGGGTGAAGATTCAATGGATCTTCATAATCATATTGTTCAAGTGGATCTCTAAAATAAATTTTTAAGTTAAATTTGAGATTTCTTATGATGAAAAATAATTATTTTGACACATTAAAACACTTACATGTTTTTGGCATGACCATTTTTTTTTTCGTTACTTAAAATTAAATAATGTTAATAAATAAACACATAAGTATAAATAAATACAGAAAAGTTGACATATACTTTATGATTTCCAGATCTTCACTAGGTAAGATTACAACAGAAGCTGTCCAAATAGCACTTACGGTACAATCATAATGGGTAGAAACATAGTTGTAATGATAGCTGTAATGGATATGTTACTATTTACTGGAGAAGTAATCTTGATTCCAGTTCTATTAACACTAATGTTATAAATATTACGAAAGCACTCAAATGATGAAATTGGCTCAGTATAGGGACGAATAGATTCAAAAATAGCTTGAGTTTCTGGGTCATGTACTAATGCATCTGATTTTTTTTGTTTAATAGGAAATTTTTGAATTATGTCATAAGCTATTGGTAATAAATCTTTATCAAGATTTGAAAGTCTAGAATAATTATCAATTGCAAATTGGCGAAACCATCCTCTTGTCAATGTAGTGCAAATCCTAGCAAGTGCTAAACTGTAAGAAGTTTCTTGATTTTTGGAAATCATTGGAATAAGATATCTTTCAAGTGCAATTACCATTGCTTCTTCTTTAACGCAATTAAGCTTTGTTTTATAGTCAAGGTTCTCAAAAAGAGATTTTTTTGTCCATGCTTTAGACTATTTTGCATTTTTTTTATGTTAGTATTTAGGTTTTATACAAATAATGACTTATAATAATTAAATTTTTATACCTGATCATCTTTTAAACTTTTATAAATTGGTTGATCACCATATTTAACGAGTTCATGTAAGTAATCATGGGGAACATGCTTTTGTACAAATAGAATGTCTTCGTGATCCAAGAATTCTTCATTGGTCATATTTAATTTGATGTGTGCGCCTGGTTTACCTCGTATTATTTCAGTTTCCTTGATACGAGTCTTTAACATAAGTTCAATTGGCTTATCACGTTGTGGACTGCATAATGGTTGAGTCATTGATACTTTATTATATCCCAATAAAATTCTTAACAAATGTAAGTCTGCAATATTCTTTTGAAAATCAGCTGGCCAATAAATGTGAGATGTTTTCAAAGCTTCAAGAATTTTTAATGGAGCAACAATACATGGAAAACTTGATAATAATGGAAACAACATTTTATCTTCAATATTGCGACACAAATCACTAATCATCAGAGCACTTATTTTTTGTTGAATATCATTAAACATTTCAAATTCAATTTTACTTTCACTTAAGTTTATGTTGTCCTCAACATAGTTGTCATCTTCATTATTATTATCATTCTCATCACTTTCTTCTTCATTTAGAATAACATTTGACTTCATATTTCTAAGATCCATTTTATCAGAGACAAGTTCAATATCAAAGTTGATAGATTTTCCATTTGTAAATGGGTCAATACACCCTCCAACAAGTTTTAATCCACCCCCTGGATAATGAATTAATTTTATATTTTTAAAAGTTACATTAGAACTTTTAGCTTTATTAATAAATAAAGTTGATTGTGAAGGGGTTGCAACTAAATCCCAATCATTAGGTTCACGGAAGAAAGGCACGTGCCATTTTGCAGCACGAGAACCAATAAGCACAGGATATTTTATAAGAGAAGTGCAGCCTCCATCAATTTTGGAGATATTATTTAGAATTGATAATATTTTCTTAGAATTATAAGCGAGGGTTTGAGGTTTAATCATTTTTTTTTAATAAAATTTTTAATTTATCAGATGAGTNAAAAAAAAAAAAAAAAAAAAATACTTAGGGGTTTAGTTAAATAATCGAATATAGTGTTTCTATTTTTGTATTAACTTTCTTTTCTTACGTAAACATTAACGTTAAATTAACACATGATTATCAATGTGAAGTGTTGTATAATCAACAAAAAAGTTTAAATTAAAATCACGTTCAGGAAAGGATATCTCATGAACTTCAAATTATCATAGTAAGAGATTAAACAACACATGCAGAAATCAAGGAAAATAAGGTGAAATCAAATAGAAGGAACAAATCATATTATAGAAAATGTGTTTAATTAATTTTCATATTTTGTTATTTCATTATGATAAATAATGAAATAGTAAATTGTAATTGAATTTTAATATAAGTATTAAATTATCCGTACATTTAATTTGCTGATGGTCCAATATTTGTAATAATTATTATAAATTGTATATTTAAATTGCTCTCAACTGTCAATATTCGTGATCGTCAACGATAAATATTATGTGATTTGATGATGGTTTCATTCCGGCATTAATTTGATCGATCATTGGGTCAAAATGCACGTGATTAATTGATATGGAAAGTTTCTTGGAATATTTTTAAAAATTTGATTATTCCATGGCATCTTTGGTGTTAAGCTTAACTTAGCGTTAAAATGTGTTTATTTGTATACGCTGATATCGATTAATCCATACTGCTAAATAAAAATAAAGTAAATAAAAATAAATTCTTCCATTTTACTTACTATATATTATTGATAGGATTAATTTTATTACGTTCTTTTAATAGTCCTTCATTATACATTTTATACGTAATTGATTTATATTCAATTCCAATTAAATAAATTTTAAAAACGCCAATATGATGAAATTGCAGATCTATCCATTCCAAGTTAGAACATTTATATTATTTCCACAAATTGAATCAGAATTCAGAACTCTTCACTCATAAAAAAGATTTACTTGTATTTCAATATAATATTATATCATTAAAAGCTTTTTTATTTTAATATTTGAGCTAGCATAGTACAATTTATTAATTTTGATATATTGACACTATTCATTTTTTTTTATACTTTCTTTATAAAACATAACTATCTTTTTAACGTATCAATCGTATCATTCAAAATTGAAATCATGTGAATTACAAGATAATGAGAGGCTTATATGAATGGCTTAGTTTAGTCTGATGAAAATGGCTTAAGTGATAAAATCAATAAAATCTAATAATGGCTTTGAAATTGTGGCTTAGGGCTTATTGTTTAAACAACAATTATCTTAAAAATTCATATTATTCTCATAATAACAAAGAAATTGTTTAATAAACATGTTTTAGTTGTTATTTTTAGTTGTGCAACTTAGTTTATTATAAATATACTTTGCAGAAAAATATTTTTTATAAATATCAGAAATATCAATTTACATTTGACAGTAAATTGTAACAAATCATTCAAATTTGAAATGTATACCCAAATCTAAATAAATCAAATTTTTATTATATTTAATATATAATGATAGCATGCTAAAATATTATTATGCCATCATAAACAACATATAGTATTATGGAAACTGAGAATACATTTAAATATTACTACAATTAACATATCTGGTTTAAACTCTAACTCAATTCTCTAAATGATCTGGTTTGTTATTATTGGCCACAAATGGGATATGATGTTAAGGAATATATAGAAACCTGTGATATTTGCCAGAGAAGAGGACTTTCAAATTGACGAAAAATATCAATATTAATACCAGTAAAAGGACTATTTCATAGAATAGGAATCAATATTAAAGTTTTTTCGCCATGACAAAATAGCTAAAAGCAGGGTATCACAAAACTTAGATACCTGTCAAATACTCTTCCACTTCCAGTACTAGAATATGATCAATCTCACCATATTGATGTACATATTATTAGAGAAGAGGACCTTCAAATTGACGAGAAAAATTAATACCAATACCAGTGAAAGGATCATTGCCTTTTTTTTCGCTATGACAAAATGGCTAGAAGTAAGGGTATCACAAAATTTAGATACCTATCAAATACTCTTCCACTTCTAGTACTAGAATATGATTAATCGATATTCATATTATTATAAGTATCTCAAGCCATATTGACAGGACCTTCTTTAGATTAATAATTTGGCCATTTTTATCACTTCTATATATCACATTACAAAATTACTATTTAATCAAGTTTCCCACACTTATAAAGATTTTAATTTACATATATACCAGCAATTCATTCCATTAAATTAATACAGAACAATTTATTCTTTATATATCAACATACCAATTCCATTAGATTAATATAGAATGATTTATTCTTTATTCATCAATATTCCCGATTATTATCAATAATAACATTGATAAAATAAGAAATTTAGTAAAAATCTAATATCAGGAAATGGTTTGATATGATTAATTCGACTTATTAAAGTCCACATGACATATTAAACATATTTTTATTCAATTGTCTTAATTTTTGACATAAACTTAAAAGGATATCATCAAGAATGGCAACAATTGAATGTCAACATCCATGCATTAATGTGCTATTAAAAAATATTTCAAATCAAACAAAACACTACAATATAATATAAAGTCCAGCCCTTTTAGTATTTGGAAATGAATATTTGAAGTAATATTATCAACTTCCAATTAACTTTACAATTTTAATAATTTCTGTTATAATACTAATAAATCATTAATTGAATACTACTATGACTATAAAGCAGATTTATAATTGAATAATTTCAGCTATAATTTAGTATTCAATAATATCACAAAATATTTCAGCTCATGCTGCTTTGAACTAGGCATGTTACCTCCAAATTTCATGAATTAATTGCAGTGTGCAGTCTAAGCTTTCAAGGGTGCTGCTGTACTTCATAATGGATGCCTTATATTATGCTGACTGGATTTTGAATTGCTGTTATGGGAAACTTTGGCCTGTTCCTACAACTCATTAGAATTCATAGTTAACCATCCAACACAACATTAATTAAATACCATTATTACTATAATTAATACCAAAATCTGTGCAAACATCTCCTAAAATCATTACATTAAATTTTTAATACATAGTGTTCATAAAAATCTTTTGGTAATTTTTTTGATAGTCTAAAAATGTGTTGTATAGCAATGATTAATATCTGACCTAAAAGTTAATCAATGCATTCCTAAGTTGATAAAGGAAAACTTTAGATGGAGCAAGCTTTATAAATATGATTGCATACAGGCCAGTCAGCAATCAATTTGGAATTATCAGGATTCATGTTTCTGGTATTATCATGCATCTAATTGTTCTGATGAATGATGCGAGCATAATACCAAGCCAACTTGGTATTTTTACCTTGAATATTAATTATCTTATATCAATACTGATTATGAGAATATTAACAAATTAATGATTAATAACAATGAATTATGAAAAAATTTTATAATAATTTTATTACTAATATAATATTGGACAACATAATAGAAAATTCAAATTAGTGAGATATTATTATGAATATATTTGAAATAAATAGAGAATGAAATTAAGGATGAAGAATTGGAACGCCATATCTTGAATACCCAAAAGTAAAGATGTGGAAGTCCAAGTGACAGAGATTATAAATGTATCATTTTGGGTGACATTGATAGGCCACAGCAATACCAAGAAAATGTTACAAATGCATTGGCAGATATACAACAAAATGAACAAGTGTCTCCTTCCAGTAGACAAAGAAGGGAATATTATCCCACCATTCAAGTTCTGGTATTTTGGCAATTATGCTATAAAAATTATAATGAATATATTATATTATCAATCGCACCATCTGCTAATTTAACAAGTCCTGGACATTTTTTTGCTTATGATGAAGCATTGGAAACCTTTGGGGTAAAATTGTAAAAGCAGCTTTAGAAGAAAAATAAAGCTAACACAATTTGACAACAACTACTATCACAACCATCATTACAACCAGCTTATAACATTTTTGAAGCAAATGATAGGTAGTATTAATATGATCATCTGTTTTATAACTAGTATCACATGATATATTTATCACGCAACTTAGAAGAAATTTATTGCTATTGATTAACAAGAATATATTTATAAAATTTTCGATGACATTGTATTATAATTGCTTAAGAATCAATATATACTAAAGATCAAGAGTAAAATCCAGAATATAATATGACAAATATATATTAGGAAAACAATACACCAAAAATTAGGAAAATAATATTAGTTTATTTATATTAATATTTATTAAAGATCTCTGTGTAGATGTAAATGTAAATGACACAAAATCTATATATGTCAAATATAAATATGATTTACCCAGTGATCCTGAAGGATCATCTTATTTGAAAAGGGAAATGGCTTTTCCAGATGATGAAATTGTATTAAATTTGAAATTACCTAGAAAGCAAGTTTATTAAATTAGTAAAATTGTAATTAAAAAAAATAGTTAATTTGTAATTACATTATACATCTAATAGTTAATGCTTTTGAATCCACATATTCAAACTGCTAATACAGTAGAATATTCAGCTTTTAAGAAGGAGGCCAAGCAATATTAGATAAAGATAAATCATGGGAAATAATTTAATTGAGCTAAATATATATGAAATCTATACAAGTATCAGAGATCCAAGATTTGAGACTGTAATTTGCAATATTATATTTGATACTGAAAATCAACATGTACGTTGTTTTGCTCATATTATTAATCTGGCTGCTCAAGATGCTCCTTAGTCCTTACATTATTTTCTGATAAAAGAAGGAGGAATGATTATTTCCATAATATGCCCGAAAGAAATTGCACTGAATTCTGGGAAGGTGCAGCCCAAAGAATTCAGAAAAGATTTAATATTAGATACATGGTGCAACAAGTCAAAAGAAAGTGAAGAAACTTGGTTAATCACTCAAAAAAACTGGTAGGACCTGAATGTTAGAAATACACAGTATTTATTTACAATGTTTAATTTACATAAACATTTTCCAACGACAAGGTAGTGGAAAAAATTCAGATTTTATATGATAACAAATGATAAACATAAAAATGATACTACAAAAGTACTTGAAAAATATTAATACCTTGGTCAATAGATTTTAAATACATGATCAACTAAAGATATAATATCATATATCAAATAAGATGTACAGAAAAAGAAAACAAATTACGATGAAGAATTCAGTATTAAATATACTTAAATCAATCAATATCAAAAACCAAATCTTTCTCATCAACCAATATAATATTAACCACATGAATTATATTTACCACAATAAAGCAAAATTCCTTGATCAGTTATTACTTTATAATGAAATAAGATCATTATTGTCTAATGATGAATCACAGAATTATCCCAAATCATCTCTTGATGATATATTAGATCATAAATTAAATTTATCGAAAATTTTTGATTTAAAGATTGAAGAAAATTATGGAATTTCACGAATTATATTATATAATACAATTCAGAAAGATAAGAATACCATAGTTATGGATGTACTTGAAGAGCCTTTCAGAGATGAACAAAATTTCAATAAATTTATACGACACATTCCTAACATCTTACAGGTATTGTTTAAATATTAAACCTTAAATAAATCAGTATTGCCAGAGAACTTCTAAGAAAGATTCTCAACAATCTATTGTAATACATTAAATACTGGAGCAAATATTGTGATGAATATGCATTACTTTATAAATTAAGTTATGGTGTTTTAAAAAAGCACATCAATTTTACTTTTCTTATTCATGATATTAATGATAAAACAAGTGGAAAGACAGCTATTGTACTTTTACAAAATGAAAAGTGGCACATAGTAAAGTTTTTAGAATTTCTCAAGAGCTATGGTTTATCTTCAGGTGAAACAGAGATACTTCTTTGTATAGGGATTTGTTCAGTGATGCCTTTTTTAACAGAACACTCTTTAATTTATGTGAGGAAAGTGAAAGTTTAAGAAATGAAAGTGGTGTAATCTATTTTTAAATACTTATTAGCAAATCACACAGAAGAAAATTTTTCTAAGCTGATCGGATTGTCAATTTTCAAATGAAAAAATGGCTTTCTCCAGTTCGGAAACATAAAACTCAAATCTTGCTAAAAGTATCAGAATTACTTTCTGGAAAAAATATAACCAACCAGTTCTCAAGGTGGTGGACAATATAGCCATACTATTAATGACCAAACTATCTGGAGGAATGGAAGATGAACATTTGGCAAGATTATTACTGATAGTGATGTATGAAACACGTTTTGTCAGAAAACTGTTCAGAATCTTGTAGAGGTGTTATATCAAGTTTAAACAAACGGCATTACCAAAGAGTTCAGAACAGGATTGTGTTTATGATTATTTGAATTACAATTTTATTACATTTAATTATAAACAGTAAACATACAACCTATGCAGGATTCTGAACTCAAAATTTGCCTAAAAAATTAAATAGGTATATTAACTATATTTCACAAATATCAATAGAAAAATATTAAAAGAAAATTATTATTATCAAAAATTAAACATAAATCTTAAGCAATTATATATTTTCAATTTAACCATTAATACACTCCAATTAAGTTAAAAATATATGAAAATGGCAATACCACATAATAGAGAGATTAATTTCAAAAGAATCTATAATGCATATAGTTTATTCAAGCTGAAATACCATATAAGCAATTAAAATACACCAAGTTACTGAATCCTTTTACATAAATAAAGTCCCTATGATTAATCAATTAATTAATATTACACAGGAGCAAACAAAAACTACTTCTGACATATTTAGAACACTAGAGAATATGTTTACAGTTAAATCTGCATTCCAAAAAACCATATTCTTAAAGACTTAAAATTTCATGGGTTAAAAGATGACACTTTCAATTCCTTGAAGAATATGAAGAATATACATGATACTATAAAAAACTTCAGCTAGTTACTCAAGGCATGAAAAAGACTTTGATTAAGGAACAATATGTAATTATACACTAAAGTGCTTGAAAGATTATGAGTGGATTATTACATCCAAACATGTTACAAACACAGGTGCTGTATATTAAAATAATTATTACCTACAGTAATTTTCAAAAATATGATTCAAAAATTGCTGGAATGGATATTCATATTACATTCATTTACCATCTAATCAAATGGAATCTATTAAAATAAACATGATCCTTAACTTTACTTTTTAATATTAAAAAATATCTAATTTTTTTTTAGTTTTATTAGAATATAATTTTTATTTGATATCTAGCCAAGTGGCTTATATATATATATATTTGGTTTTAAATTCCCCCTACCAGTAATATTTTTTTAATTTTCTTTATTTGGTGAGAAGGCCAAATAGACTTTTTTTTGAAATTTTCTTATTTTGCACTAGAAGTAGGGAATTATTGAATGATGATGCAAATAAGACTTGAATCATTCTGCAAGCATTCAGCCACATCTCAAAGGAAATCAAAGACTCATTTCATAGAGTTTATCACCAACCCAATTATTATACGATGGGAACTGAAGACTTGATAACCCAAAAAAAATTTTCCTATTATAGTTTCTTAAATAAGAAGAACACATCTGCTTAAAATATAAAATAAGAATTATCATAATTTGGATTATGGAAAATTTAAAAGCAGATCATATTAATAAAGTAATCTTATATAGTAATTAATAACCTATGCATGCATGATATATGGTAATAAATTTTTAGAATGATGAAAGATAATATAAATATTCCATTTTTTCCATTTAGTCTTTACATTGCTTTTTTTTGAAATGGACAGAAGGATTTCAGATCTACTTTGGATAGTAAACAATATGAATCTATATCAAGGAGATTCGATATTTCAATATTATTTATATCTTAGTTAATTATTTTTATAATAGAATGAATTAGTTACTACTGCTCAAAATTTATAACATTACTTTAGAAAAGGATATTTCAAAAATTTGGATGTAGCAGGATAATTTCTATCTTTCAGATATCTCCTATACAAAAAGACTTTATATACAACAAATAAGTCTACAAGTCCATTTATTATTATTTACCTATACTACAATATAATTATATCAGACAAGCTTTTTTTCAATCACTCATGAAAAAGCAAGAATCAAAACTTTACTATAGTTGACATGAAAATTAAAGTTATATATATTTTGGAATTACATCAACCCTCTCTTTAGTTTTTATTCATAAGTTGATTATAGTTACTTCCTTTGGGTACAGGAATTATATTTACTGACAGAGCTGAAAATTCACTTTATATAAGTAATAATCCCTTGATTTCTATTTATTTTATTCAAAGAATTTGCATCAAAATTATTAGAAATTTGTGATAATATGATAATAAGGAATTAATAAGTTTTTAAAACTTATATTTTCTATATGCAGAAATTTCAACCTTATTAATTGATTGATTTTATAAAAAGTAATATATAGTTTTAATATGAGACAGATTTTAATATAATGATAAGAAGTTATAGAAAAAGTTAATATCTATATTGAAATGAAGAAATATGAGTAACATGTCCCTTTCCCTTTTCTGGAAATCTTATCTCATTAGGGAAATATGAGAATGATTTCACACATTGGTGATAACAGTGCTCTAGATCTGGAAACACTCCTAAAAGGAAAAAACATTTATCAAATATTCAGATTGCATTCGCAATCAGCATTTACAAAATATTATTTACCCTGCAGAATTCACATATACAGATTACAAAATCGGTAATAAAACCTATTTTGACGAAGAATTTGGTAAGACTCATGATCACACCAACAGGAGTAGCCACAATATTTAATCAGCATTGGAATTAGAAGGTTAGGCTTTAACAAAGGTGATAACAGATCATCTGCAAATGTTAGACTTACAAACTGAAAGCCAGTTCTAGTGAGGAACTAAGTCTCCAATTAATAATATTTAGATATAGTTATTTATAATATTTATTCATTATATGTATATATTCATATATTAATATAATAATTAATGCCATATCAATTTTATGATAGAAAAAAAAAATTCTTAAATAGTCAATCTTTAAAAAGCATACTTATAAATGGTGCAGGCTTTGCTAAAGCTTGATATGGTGGAAAGTAAACTCATTCTTACTGAAGCCTCGTGATTACTCTTCCAGCATGACAAAGAAATTACCGACTGGAAGAAATTAGTATGTATTTGTAAGGGTTGCTTCGATGAATGACACAACCTTTTCTTTGATGGAAAGGATGACAATATATGTAAAACTGCTTAATTAATTATATATATTCAATACTTTAAGCTACTCGTTAATATACATCAAAGGCATTAATTTTATTGAAAGTTTGCAAAACACAAAATTTTACAAAAGACTTAATTATAATAATATTTTTATTATAAAAAATTAATTATATTAGTAAAAATTTGAAGTTTAAATTTAAATAGAATAATTTAAAGAATTTCTGGCCCTTAAAAGAAATCTATAGTATGGACGGATTGGTTTTTTCTCTAACATAATGCAGGGTAACATTACTTATTATAATAATAATGGCCAGCATCACTGATTATATACTGTATACATTTGTGTTGAAATTATT